TGTAAACATTTTGTTGCGAACACTGCCCCTCCACGAATGTTAGGTTAGAATTTATTGATGTCATGTCGGAACTCGAATAAGCAATTTGTTTCTCCTTATGTCCTTTACAAATATCAGTTTCCTGGAATGGCAAAATAATATAATAAATTTATCCATAGTCTTTGAACTAAACAAAAGAAATCAATATACATTCCCCATGTTTTTGATAGGTTGCAAAATATTAAATTTATAATAATTATAAATGAAAGTAAATTGTTATTTATTTTTATGAAAAATAACACTTTTAAATACTACATAGCAGTGTTTTTTGGATACGTACGTCTCATCTTGAAGCCAGATCTCACGTATAACCTTAACATTATTCACAGTTTGCACTTCAGAAGAACCAATGAAAATTCCAATAATACTTGATCGAAAAAAAAATGTCAATATCATTTGAACGAAGTTGATTTTTGAAAAAAGGTTTGTGTAGGAAGGGTGTTACCATTCAAGAAGTCGTTGTTGTGTTGAGCAAGTGTATTGAGTTTGATGAAATCAAACGAATATCTTGGGAAGGCATGCAGTTCTGTTACTTCCTGAACATCAGTATTAGCGTTGAGAACGGCCATGAAATAATGTCTGGTTGGCCTGTATTTTAATCCTGGTTTAAAAACTGACATATTGGTCAAAATGTAAATCTTCTGCTCTTCCAATACGATGTTGAATTTGACTTTGTTGGTTTTCAAAACATTTACATGTATGCGGTTTCCCTGAGTTTTTTAAAAATTTATAAAAACAGACTATATGTACAAAATTTTGATGTAATTTGAAATCTTTGTAGAAAGTTCAGAACATACCTTTACATCTACAAAGATGTAATCAAGCTGTTGGGACTCCGTTCTTAGCACCCTCCCAAAATTTGAAGACCCGAACTTTTATTGTCCATTGTACATAGCTAGTTTTCAGTTCGCTAATCAGAGATAAATTGCGTCCTGTCTTTCCTGATTAAGTATGAAATTTTAAACTAAAACCAACAATACACCTCAAACGAAAACTAAATTAGGTATAAGAAATTTGTGAAGACCACAGTAGATTTTCTTTTGACTGTTTGTGAGTTCGCCGGGATAGTCGAGATTGAGAAAAGAAGAAGAAGAAGCAGCAGTAGTGCAGAGAAATTGTTGTTTATGGTGTATTTATAATTGTTTAAATATGGTCTGAAAAGTTGTATTGTGGACAGGTGCGTCTCTTAGGAAGAAAATTGTTTGTGAAACTGTGCGTCATACAAATGCAGCGCTTAGACGATCATATTGATAGAAACTCTTTAGTAAGTACAAAGTGATAACCCAATGAAGCCCAGTAATTTCAGTCGAACAAACAACGAAAAGTCAAGTTTTAAAAACCCCAAAAAGCCCAGTAAGTTTAGAAGAAGAAGAAAAAAAAAACTTGTTAGAAGTTTATACCTTTGCTCCGTAGTTCGGCGCGAGCATTGTTGTAGTGGTGTTTTTGGAGATGGATTATATTTAGAGAAGACAGAATTCCTCTCGTTTTAGTCGGATCTTATTTAGAGAAGAATGAATTCCTCTCTTTTAATGGTTACTACCAACCAAATTTATATTATATACTTGCATAATTTTATAATTTGATATGGACGGTTTACTGTAAGTTTTTTTGGGATTTATTCTCATTCCCACAATAATATATATTAGTCCTAATTAAGCACATTTTAGGCACCCAAAAAATATTAGTTCTAAACGGCTTTTGTCAAATTTTTTTGGTTTTATCATAAAATGGTAAAGTCATCCATTTTTTGCGAGACCGGCCGAAGTCATAATAAATGACAGGAAATGGAGTCCTGGGAAAAAAAAAGTAACGATAAGTTGGTGATGTTTGCTAAACGGCAATCAAACAATTTTAAAAGATAAATTATTTGCGTAGCTATGGGCAAATGTGATGGAAATTCCTCGCAATATTAACAACCAAAAAAATAAAATTTAAACAGTTTTATAGAAAAAATTGGAAACCAAAAATGCAAATTAATAAAGACCATTAATACAATGACCATAGGTATCCAACTGAAAGCGCAGACCAATCATATACATTTCATTAATTAATAGATAGTAAGTAAAAAAAAT